TACGGCATAATCGCGATATTATCAATATAGTACAAAGGGTAGCTTATACTTTACGTCATTTCCAGTTCTAGCATTAACTCAACGTAATGCAACGTAATCCTAAGAAGAAGCCTCGATCTTTCCTCTAAAAAGTACCAGAGAAAAAAATATCAATTTTTATCAATATACATTTTTCCGAGTATGCCAAGTGCAAGTGACAGTGCCACAATATCTTTGATTTGAGAAAGAAAAAAAGCTGATGAAAGAATTTTCACCATAAGAAATGTGTCTCGATAAACCCTATATCGTCATGTTAAATAATTATTCGACAAGGCACATGGAACGATAGCGCTTTATCGCGTGCTCCATATTCGAAACACGCCTCCGCCAGGCGAATCGCATCAATTGCACCGATAGAGATAACGACCATAACACGCCGATAATAAGTTCTCGGTTATAATAAGCATTCGGCCGCGATGCACCGTTACAGTCGTGCGCGTGCCGCGCTTCGTCTACATCGAAATCTCTTGCACGCTCGACGAGCTCGTTTTCGGCGAGTCGCGGGCGCGACGAAGCTCCCGCGCAATAAATCCGCATCCGCATCCGCATCCGCATCCGCGTCCGCGTCCGCAATAGCGCGCGCTGATAGCGGGTGCAAGAGCGCGGGAATAAAGTCTAGAGCATATCTAGTCTAGAGCAACAGAAGCGGAACAACAAGCCCCTGGCTGTTGTTGCAGGTGCAGTCAAGCGGGTATCGCGTCGATCTCGATCTCTGACGCAACGCAACGCACGCTCGCGTGCGGATCGCGTGTGTGACGTGACGAGTGCAGATAACGACGCGCCAATCGTCGGGTCTCGCGTTCGAATGAATTTTCGTCCGCGTCACGCGACGTCGCTCGCATTTCGACGTCTCGAGCGGCTCGAAAGTAGCCGTATCGAGTATCAGCTTTATTGACAAATTTCACAAATTCCAATTTAATTTCTTACACGGATTATCTTGATAATGAACGCGTTTATTTATAAACATATAATGCATCGAGAAGCTTATAATATAAACTTAAAGGGAATAATATAATATGAGAGAGTGCGTTGTTTTTCACGTTAGGCACGTGACTTGAATTTATTTGCAGCGGAGTAAAAATTAAATATTTTATGCCTGTCTATGTTTTTATGACGCAGCGTTAAAAAAAAAAAAAAAAAAAACAATGAAGAATAAGATAAAACAAAAATCAATTTTTTCATCGGCCTTCTACGACTGACTAAGCACATGGTTTATTTTAAAAAACACGCAGACATAAACTTTTTGCGGCATATTGTTCCTACTTCACGTTTACATTGTCGCGTCAGCCTGCCTAGTAAACAGTTTAATTTCTGCAGCATGCATGCAATCTAATGTCAATATTATCTCGCGAAATAATTCTAACGTGGTTCACTAGACTTAAATGTTTCGGAAAACAGATAGTGATGTAAATTCATTCTTGAACTACTATAAAGTTACGATTACTGAATTATTAAAGCTTCGATCTTATTTTCATTACATTATTTTCGCGGAAATAACATTAATGAAAATCAAAATTTTATTTAGCCGTCGACTGGCAAATTGACAGTTGAAACGATAACGATCTTGCGAGTAAATTGAATTATTTGGAGGAATTAATTTGTTGCTCACGTCGCGGAACGATCTTCCAGTTTTTAAAGCGATCATAAGTCGAGCTTTATAAAGGATCCTGTTACGTACATAATTATGTCGAGGACAACTTGTCTGTCGACATGTTGAATACATAATACAAACTTTAATTTTATTAAGCAACTTGGCTTCGATTTATCGATAACAAAAGATTCAATACACTGAGAAAAAGAGACAGTAATATCGCTTTCTTCAATTATTTTACTCTTCTATTGATAATTCGAATTTATTTATCTCAGAATAATTGCAAGTTTCAATTAGAAGAACAACAGAGGTGAGGAATCTCTAATTCTTAGAATAACAAAGTATATAGGATTCTGTATTGATATTATTCATCACTCTCCTCCCCTTCTTCTCACAATAGAGGATATGCAAATGATTATTCTTATTATACAAGTAAAAGGAATGGTGCTGGAACCTCTAATTCTTAGAATAACAAAGTATGCAGGATTCTGTATTGATATTATTCAGTCTCTCCTCCCCTTCTTCTCATAATAGAGATATGCAAATGATTATTTTTATTAGACAAGTAAAAGGAATGATACTGAAAGTACGTCGGAAAGTGCTCCCTTTTTTTTTATCGAAGAATCGTGCATAATATGAAATAATAATACATAATCCGCGTAATAAAATATATACATACATTTGACAGTGAATGATAGCAACTCGCTTTGATTGTCCACTCACTCAAGGCCGCGGCACCGCCTCCGATAGGTCGCAAAAGACATTTTATCAAAACGTGCAGTTATAATTGGTGGCGGTGAGACGCGGCCTGCGGTATGACGTGAATTGTTTTTCATGGAACGCCAAAGTTACTTTAGCACATTGCATTCGCGAGCATACATCGAACCGATAAGTCTTACCTTCCGTAAAGTCGACCTTCTCGATCATTAGTTGATCGCTGTCCGATTAAAGCCAATATCGATTATTGCCATTTCAGGAAACGCCTACTAATTATTTGAATTAAAGTCCAATTTAACTTCGATCGACAACATGAAGACATGAAGACGCGCGATTTCCGCGACCGATTACTCATTATCTTCCGCTCTTCTTTCCGTCGGCAGTCAAACTTTGACTTTTTCGATCGCGGCGGACATCCTTACCAACTCTTTTTCATTGTCTGTCATTTCGTTTCTTCTTTTTTTTCCTAATTTTATAATTATTTCTAATTAATCTATCACAGATTACTTAACAATCTTATCTTACGTATGATGAAAATGAAACTTGTAAATGGAAGGGTATACCAGGATATTTGATATGTGGATATGGGTATTCGATATCGGTACGATCGGTACGATTGAGTTTCACGCCGGTTTCTTGCATCAGATACGTTAAGCAGATACGATGCTCAAAAATGAAATGCCGTTTTCGCCATAAAAATGCAATGGTTTGTTAACCCGTGGGAGATTGTCCGAGACAACGAAACTTGAAATCAGTTCACCTACAACAGACGCATTCAAGGCGATCGAGTCAGATAATTCACCCTGTGTTTCAAGGACAGTGTTTTTTTTTTTATCTTTCTAATAAATCTTCTAAAGGCCCCTGTTGAGCAATTCTTCGTGTAACAAAACCGTTCACGAGCCTCTCTCGAGCCTCTCTCTTCCGTCGAACGCGGAAACTAGAAGAACGCTCCACGTTCATTCAGGATTTCGCTACCGCATCCGATTCGAAAGGCTGCAGGGAATGCTCAGGAGATTGCTTTATTGAGGCCGTTTTATTTCATTGTCGATCGTTTATCGATTGTCCAGCTTATCGAGTGATCAAAGGACGCGCGGTACGCGAACGCACTGTGACCATGAAGATGCTTTGTAATTCTTGTAACATCTCGCGACGCGATTTAAATTACATCGCTGAACACGGCATTAATAACTCGCTAAAAATAAACGCTCGTTAACAAATGTGGAAACCAACATAAACAATGATTCAGTCATTTTCTTTTTGCGGAAAGATCGACTTTGCGGATCAGAAAATCTGTCATGTCGACGTTGGTGAAAAATAATGCGAATTTATATAAATTATTTATATAAAATTTATATATATAAATTTATAATTATGATTTTTAAAATTAATGGATATAAAAAGAAGAAATCGATCAGTTATATATGTCTGGGACAAGAATAGTTTTGAACTAGGCGAGCCTTGTTGTGTGACGATCTTCAAAATACCATGTCCGATTCTAAATATGCTTACGCGGATAATTATTGTGACCTTCGACAGATCGACGGGAATGATCGCTCGTAGTCTTTGGCATGTCCTGTTCTCCATAATAGCATGACTGCTCATGGAAATAACCTCAGTGCGACATTGTAAAAATGTACAAACAAGACGTATCTACGAGTAACCGATTTTCCATACACGATACAAATTACACTGGCATGTTCCGATACAAATTGCGTTTGATTATCATAAATTCAAGTTTTAAGTCGCGTAATAAAGTTAATTTTAGATATTTTCTATTTGCTAACTAAACATCAGAACGTACAAGATGGGATAAGTCGATTACATCGCCATGCATATAAAAGCAAAATAAATATTAATCTTTTGTTAATTTAATCGCTTTTCGATGTCAGTTAATGTCTTATGCGATGCAACAAGTACATTCGAGTGTTAAAATTATATGGAACTGTTATTAATAAATATGCATGTCATTTTTTGCAATATGCAAAAGTATATGCATCATCAATCTATCGCGATGAACGATACATGAAAATTAATTTCTAATTTTATGTGCAGCGTACGTGATGCATTTTTAAGCACGTTGTGTAAGTTTTTAATGACAAATCGACAAAATGTTGTTCTCTGTAACACTATTTATCCGCATGCGACATACACGTAGACTCACGCACCGTATTCGTGCATAAAATTCTGTTGCTATATTCTAAGACATAAAATAATTTAATATTAAATTTTTTTATCTGGAGGTATAAAAAATGCAAATTATTATTACGAAACATTGCAGAAGTTTTTATTTTTTTATATCGCCTTTAGAAAAAAAGCTTGAACTTGTCTCGAACTTGTCTTTAATAATTATTTCGCTTATCTTGCATTCCCGTTCCTCTTCTGGCGAACGGGAGTTCATCTTCATGCGACGTTCCTCCGTTGGAGAACTTGATAAAAAAAATAAGAGTCCAGTTTATCATGATAAATCATCGCAAAATTATACAAAGCAAACGGCATAATTACGCAACGATCGCGGATCGATCCAAGGTTAGATTAGATATCCTTCGATATTAAAAACGGGGGGAGGTGATCCTAGATATCCTAAACTATATCTTTCTGTCCCTGAATCTGCAAGAACGTCTGCTACTCCTACAGAAACGTATATAAGACTGACGGCATTCTATTACAACGTGCAGTGTTAGATTACCACCTCGTAGACAACAACCGACTGCCGTCGTTATTAGCGCTTGGAAAACTTGTTTCCAACAGTTGTTCTTTGTTATTCGTGCGCTGAAGCGCTCGACATTCAAGCCGCCAGTAAAGCTCGCGGATCTTATTCGTCATGGAGAATTTACGCGCGTCAAACCTGGTCAATACCATGCGCATCGACGGCGATAAGACCATCACCAGCTTCGCGAAAGATGCACCGACGATTATCAGATACTCGGTAAGAAAAATCAAACGGGGGCAGACCGAGACGAAAATGGAAATGACAATTCGTGCGTATTGTGACACGTTAATTAAAGACCATATGCTTGGTGAATTTGACGTGATCGGGACGCTTCGCTTCGGTGTGAGGGAGATGTTATTTCTTGAAGTCTCTCAATACTCTGAACACAGCAGCTCTTATTCTGAGCACAATCGAAAGAATATTATTTTTTAGCAAGATTTTTAGCTGTATTGAAGATCTGTTTCGAATTTGCCGTCGTCTGATTATAATTAATAATTTTTTTATCTTTCGTGTACATGATGAATTTGGTACAATAACTTATACACATTTCATCTTTTTCGCTGTTCATCAGCGACTGTGCATTTCACAGTGATTTACGACCACTCGATGCACAAACCATCGATTTTTACACTATTCTCATTTACTGTGTTTCCTCTAATTTGCACGGGTTTGTTAATCTGACTTTGTATCAGGGAGAATTCAAAAGGATTGGAACGTCTACATTGCTACATTGTTATTATTTAAATATATATATATAATTTACATACGTACATACCCAATTTATTGTTTCTTATTGGTATTATTGTAATTATTAATATATTATCTTTATCAAAAGACAATGATGACAACAGTATAACTTTAATTTGTGAATTATTTACATTATATTCTACATGCATTCATGTCGTCGTATATTTTCTTTGAAATTTCACCGTATTATTTCATGTAATGAATTCTTTCGTATAAACTCGTCAAAATGATATCAAAATGATGATTTTACTTTTCGATCGGGTGTGACTCCTCCTTCGTAATAAATTATACTTTTCCGTAAGGGAGCGTTTCATTCCTGGCATTGGTGATGATACATACGCGTAAATGTGCCTTGGTGCGATGATCTAATCGTTTTCTCACGATAATTGTAGGACATCAGATATTATTATGCAAATTATTAAATACGCTGAAAGAAACCGTGCGCAAGATCTGTTAATTTAACTAACGCGCTCCTCTTAACGTGACGTAACTCGAATAATGACAATAATGTGTCTTCACAATCTTTGCATTCTTCCGTAAACATAATGCCGCGTAATGCCCAGGTGCGAGGTCTCTTTATCGTGACAAATGTTATCAGCGCATTATGCAAGTGATTATTTGATCGAAATACTTTACTGACGGAAGGACATTTCAAATTACATGCAAACAACAACAACGATGTAACTTTCAAGGTAAAGGAGCATTCCGTAAGGTCTCCTCACGTTTCGGAGTCATGTCGCGGATGTCGACGGTAAAGTAAATTTCATAAGACGTCCGTTCAAGAAAATTGATTTTACAAGAAGTTTTTATAAGAAAAAAAAAAAAGAAAATTGAAAAATATTATTTTTTTAGAGAAACTTCAATACCGCTCTAGATATTCCTTCTACGTTTCCATGTCTGATGCTAAATGCACATCGTGTCCGTTCGCAGGCAGTCTTATCGGCCGCCTCCTACAAATCACTGCCTGGAAGTAGCTCAATGACGAATTAACGCTGGGTGCCGTTGACCGCGTAATGACCGATCACAATAAAACGTGTTGGATAAACGAGCATGTCTCACGCGTATCAACGCGATACGTAATACGGTAATAATAAACCGAGAACGCTGGCGCATCGTTCCCATCTACGAGACTCTCCTCCGGATCCTCGACTCGAGAATCATGTCGCAGCGCGTTCCGCGCAAATTACGCTGAATTTACAATTTCTTATTGTGGGAATTGCGCGACGCGTGTCTCATGTTCCTATTAACTATGAGCACCCCAAGGTACGGTTAGCTCCAATTAAAATATGCCTCAGCCATCCAAGCTCGATAATGATAACAATTCATTCAGGCAGTCGCGTCAAATTTCGAATATTCCCCGCTGTAAAATGTTACGCTCAATGATATTTTGAATTATTCTTATATATACGTTTAACAGAATAATATTAATTAACAATAATATCAATTTCTAAAGTCTACGTCATAAATATCGTTAGCTTCTCCCGCGATATCGAGTAATCATTTTCATTTTCACGAGTCCTCACTTTCCATGTCCTACATTCTCATTTCAGTTGGCCGATTTGGCTGACGGGTCAAACAGTGATATGGATTATCATATCGAGATAATTAACAAGGATGACAAATTAAGGGTGCTGAAATTTCTAAGGAGATACTTCTTCAGAGATGAGCCGCTCAATCAGAGCATCCAACTGATTCCGGAGGGTGAGGACAGTACTTGCATGGAATTGGAGGACTACTGCAGTCACGCGACGTTCGAGAATAACTTGAGTCTGATGGCAGTTTCCGCGAGTGGCGCAATCATTGGGGTTCAGCTCAACGGTAAAACCCTTTTTATTCGCTATAGGTATTTTGTGAAAACTTTTTTATAACCTTCGAAAATATGGCTCGATTACAATCGGCGTGCTTACCGTAAATTTCGTTTCGCATGCGTGCGCTTTACGTCATCTAGAGCATCGGTCTCATTATATCTTTCGAGTATAGAGCGATTGGCCATCAAACGGTGTATGTTCTTAGAAAAGAGTTTTTTGATGAAAACAAATTTTTCAATTATTCCGTAGAGAATACTAAATTTTATTATTATGTATTTATGCAGTTTTGTTGATGATCCATCAAAATGATCGAAAACATTTTACAGTCGTCTTGTTTAATACTTAATCTGTCTTATCAAATATCGTTCTTGTTATTTCATAGTCATATTTGTGAAAGAAACATTGATATATTCGGCATTCATTTATATGTGTTAATTTGAAAAATAAAACACTCAATATTATATTTTTTATATCTTTGATTGTTCTCTTGGAACACGAACACGTCATGTCTCGGTTGAACAGATGCGAAAATTACCAGTTAATTTGAAACGTATCTCATTTCGTATTCAAGTAAGTAAGTAAATGCATAAGGGAAGAGACTAAAGAAATACAACGGTACCGGTGTTACGTAAAATGTTACGGATCACGAATAATCCCGTGAGTTATTATTCGATACCGGTTGTGATTTAAAAGATAAGTACATCACGTAATCTGCTAATAAATATGTATCTGCATTAAAACACACACACACACACACACACACACACACACACACACACACACACAACAACAACGTTTATGCGACATTTGAAAATCGTATTGATAATTTATGCGTTGCATAATATGCGCGAATTGTTAATCAAAGATTTTAATAATTAATGATGTGAACAATAATAGATAGACAGATTAAATCAAAGCAAAAGTAATAAAGTTGTTAACAATAAAAAGAAGTGTTTTTAAAATTTAAAATACTTTTTTTCAAGATAAGTATTGCACACATTACAATAAATTAAGAAATATTATCGACGGCAATAATGGATTTAATAATTTAAAAATAATAAGATAAAAGATAATTGGATTTCTCTAGATAGCATTCGTTTCGTCTCTTAATATGCAGAATTGCTAATTTGCAAAGTTCATAAAAAAGAAGGTATCACGTAACGCGCGTTCCTGACAAGAGTCAGGAAATATATTTCTTTACTAAAAAACCTGAAATACAGCTATATTATTTACATTTAGATAGTGACTTGATATTCAGGCATTTTGTAATTTTTGTTAGATAATACGATTGCTATCACATAGACTCAAGGAATTTAAATAGATTTGTCTACAAAAATAAGCAAAATAATTTTGTAAAGGATATCTAAATTATTATTATTAAATTATTATCAATCGGTAGGACAAATTAAATTATTTCTCTAAAAGAGATACATTAAGGAATCTTTAAACGATATATGTACTATTTATTCATTATACCGGTTAGAGATTACATATTAATTTAATTTCTTATTTATCGTCGATGATAATTGACAGCTTCATTCTTATTGATAGTCATTACGATAATATGCAAAACGCATATTGTAATGTGCATATGTAAGACGCGTGACTATATGTGTGTCATATTACATATATAGGAACGTATTTATTAAAGCAATTTCTCAAGTCTGTCTGCTCTCAATGTGTAAATATTGAACGGCAAAAAAAAAACAACTATCGCATTCAGAAGACAAGAATAATCACTAAGAATTGCAAATAATAATAGGAGAGAAAATGTTTAATTCTGCTTGTTAATAATTGCATATTAACGTCTGTCGTACGCTAGCAACGCTAATTATCTCCATTAACTGTATGTTGTTACGTTGTAATTATTATATATTATATTTTAACATAAATTAATGACGTAGTTGTAGACAGACACGGATTTACAATTATTTTTATCCTTTACAGGCAAAATGGAACCTTCGTCGAACGAAGAGCCAGAATATATACGATTGTGCAAAAACACAAAGTTCAAGAAGATACTGAGATTATTATATCACATAGATAAAAATGTAAACAAAGGTGGACAATATCGGGATTCCAACGTTCTGGAGATCAGAATACTTTCAGTGGATACAAATTGGAGAGGAAAAGGCGTCGCGAAGAATCTCATAGAAAAAACAATGTAAATATTATTTTGCGTCTGTAATACGTGTAGGAATCGATCTGAATGAAAAATATGTTTAAGAACAGGCGATATATATAAGCTTGATCTACTTACAAATTACAGAGAAATCGCGAAGCAGCAAGGATTTCATTACGTTAGGGCGGACTGCACATCAGCATTCTCTGGCAAATTATGCGCGCGACTTGGCTTCGACGCGATATACGAACTTAATTATAATGATTACGTGGATGAAGAGGGAAAGCCAATTTTTTCACCCGTATCACCTCACACAGCAGCCATCACATATATTAAGAAAGTCTAAGGAAAACATTGAAGGATGAGGTAGAGATACATTTAGAATGAAGTTTGATGTAACGAAAAAATAAGATGTCATTAAAGCGATATCGGCATTAAGAGAATAATAAATAAAATATTTTATAACTTAGTGTACAATATACATGTAAAAATTGTTATCCGCGTTATAATACTATTTCATTCATGGGCGTATCCAGAATTTTTTATCGGGGAAGAATTTTATCAAGTTTGTTAACACATAAACAAACAATTTTTTGCGTTAATGAATTGCTTTTTTGTTTTAAAGTTTAGAATATTTCTTTGTTCCTGTCTTTGAATGAGAAAAATATTATGTCTTGTAAATCATAACCAATTTTTTTTTTTATTTTAGAGGAAAGTCTGAAGCTCCTTTCCCCCTTCCTCTTGGATATGTTCATGATTTTATTGTATTGTAAATACGTAATTATTATTTTGAAAATAATTATAGATTCGAAATAGTGAAAATTTCTTTGTGTCTGTATGCGCTATATTTCGTCAATAGATGTGTATATAATTTATGTAAAAAACACACAAATTCCTTTTTTCATCATTTGGTATTATTCAAAATATATCGTAAAATATGTACAAATTTGCATAATCGTTTAAATAATTTCTTTATCACATCCCCCTCACTGTACATATAATTATTTAATAATTAAAAATAAAACACCTTATAAGAATTTTGAAACATACATTCAAAAGTATCAACAAAACATTATTTCGTATTTTAACATTGTTTCGTATTTTTTAATAGATTTAATCTATTGTGCTTTTAATTTTTTTATTATGAGCAGATAAAATTTAATAAAAAGAATTCAAAAATATAAAGCATAAAAACTATACAAATAGAAACATTACTGTTCAGTACAGGAAGGAAGAGGATATAGAGAAAATATAATAGAGAAAATATAAAAAAATATCGATGTTTCTAAAATAATTGTCACTTTAATTTCTAATATAATTTTTGCTAACATTCGCTACTGTCCTTACTAATATAATTTTTGCTACCATCCTTACTCAGGTACTCGTTAAGATTTTCTGTAGAGTTAAGATCTTTTATAGCTAAGTTGGACTTAGTATTTGCAGCGTCTCGAATTCGTTGGTATTCATAAGCTATATGAGCATTTCGCAAATTTACTCTCCCCCTCACACTCATAGAATAAAACATAAAAACAATTTGCAGAAATCCCAAGGCAAAACATGTAAACGCTACTAAAAGACCAAAATATTTATTTGGTTTGTGCGGAGGTGGTGGCCATGGTCCACCTGCCGTACGTACTTCATATTCCCATTGACTTCTATAGTATCTACGATAAAAAAAAATATATTCATCAAATTATATTAAATTTTTTTCACATTTGTATTTAGTTACAGTTAATAAAAATGAGTTCTCTTAAATGAGTTTTTTTAATCTTTTAGACAAAGCAAATATTATTCCATTATAACAAAATTACTTGTTTCAGAAATCAAGTTTTCTAGTTTTCCTTATAAAAATATAAAATTAAAAAATGCAAAAGTAAAAATCTTAAACATTAGTTTTATTTAACTCTTATATAATAGTAATATTTGATCAATATTCATATAGTAATCAATATTCTATTAAGTACTCTGTATAACTTACATGTTTCGTGAGTTATATGTATAAGATGGATTATATCTATTACATTTCAAATCAAAATCATATTGACGTCTCGTACTTTCTTTTCCCAGAATCGAATATGCCTCGTTCAGCCTGACAAAATCAGCATGTCCTTGCTTGCCACTGGTATCAGGATGCAGCTGTCAAAAGCAAATGTGCAATTTGTTTGAAAACATGGAACGGACAGAGTAGAAAATCACGTACTTGCTTCGATAATCTGATAAAAGCTCGTTTAATCTCTTTCTGCGATGCGTCAGGCGAAACATTTAAGGTTTCATAATGATTCTGTTGATACCTTTAAAATGAACACGCTACATTGGCAGCAATTAAATCAATTTGTTCTTTTATTATTAGCAGGACGTTACACACTTTTTGCATTCAGAGTGAAACAATTATACATTCTCATCTTGTGTATTCAAGGGAGAGACAAAGAGAGGAGATGTATTACAAGAATGCTACCAAAAAGAACAAATTTATCATTTGACAACACAACTGCGACGTGACACGTCGAGAGCAAGATTCTAACCTCTGAGTCCCATAATTTCTGGCCACACAACAGATTTCCGGTTTCCACACTCGGAGGAACTGTGCCATTATTCACAGATGCGACCTTTTCTAATGAAAAGATAAATCATTTCGGAGACTTGAAACATTTTGCGTATCAGCGGCTCTGTTCGTCAAACAGCCGCCGCCATTTCTCGTTCAGCGTAAAAACAAGAAACAAGAAACGTTACAGGTCGATACCAGCATGGTTAAAATGACTTCCTTCTCATTTCGCATTCGATATCACCGAAATACCGTTATAATAATAAACTAATATAATAATAATAATAATAAAATAAAATAATATTATAATAATGAAATAAGATAAATGTGCAATATGACGCACTGCCTTCCAATTTTTTTTTAATTTTGTAAATTTGTATATTTTCATGCGTAAAATATATTCTGAGAAGGAAAATCGTTGGTCCCAATTTTTTCAGTTTTTTGACGTTGGTAAGTTAGAAGATGATAATTCAATTAATAATTTATGACTGCATATTTATTATATTCTCTGCTTTAATTAGTTAAAATTACAAATTATTTTTTATATAATTTAAATTACTAGAACATAACAGGCGCGTGCTACGCGCGCGCCACTAAGCTTTTCATGGATGCTTTCCATTTAGTGACACAAATCGACACAAATATCACTTTGTTCTTATTAATCATTGAAAGCCATGAAAGATACTTAGAACGATACTTGTGTCGACTTGTGTCACTAAATGGAAAGCACCCCATATTATATATTTTTATATTATTCGTTGATGGTAGCGACG